TCCAGCACTTACCAAACGATGACGGAATTTCGCGACCACTAGAAAATCGTCACTTCCAATGTCTACACCTCATTTTGCCCGAGTGTCGTGAAAAACACATCCATTTATCACTGATTATTACGTGACCAATTTGGATACGAAAATGACCTCGTGGCGCCATCTACGTCTGCTGATGGATGCGACAGTTTTGGAACAATGTCATGTAAATATCGGCATGGAGCAAAGGTCTGATACGCGGTGGCCGTTACGCCATGTTGACGTTGCGCATGGGGGCCAGCTCTCTTGGTCAGCGCTGACCTAGGCATCGAGGTAATCGGTTACACTCGATAACTGATGTCACGGGAAAGAACCATGAGCCACACGAATGCGTAAAACTGGTAATTTTGTGGTCTTCTGCAACATTGGTATGGGCATATACTGCAGCAAAGTTCATGTTAATGTTTCTCTACGCGAATAGATCATTTGTGTACTCGACGGAGATCAAAATTTGCTACTTAGGTTCACAGCAGAATTGCGACTTAAGCTTTGCGGCGAGAGACCTGGATTCCAGACCAGTAGAATTGCCATACATCTTCATGCCGGTGATATCCTTGTTCTGGCAGATGGGTCTGTGAGAGTCACTTTTAATTCGTTTCGGTGCGAGTGGCGTCGTCCTGTTTGCCATCACCTTCAACGGCCGAAGATTTTACTTTGCCGATGTGAAGCTGTTTCAGGTCGGCTGTCACGGTAGAATTGTTTAAACCGTCCTGAGAATGTATGCTGCTTATCACACCCGGTGATAAGCAGCGCCTGGCGCAGTGAAATCAGCACCTAAACGCTACGAAAAATGGGAGAATCGTCACTGCTGAAGTCTATGTGCCATCGGCTAGTCGTGTGATGTCACCTGTCAGTTGTCGTTTTCTTTCTTCTGAAACTGATACAACTTCTTCGTTCCCGTACTTGTCTTCCTATTTCTTCGTTCCTCAGGTTGCCCTTGATGAAAATTTCATTTGATTTTGGAAAATGGTTTTGGCCACTGTTCACCCTTGTCAGGCGTCTTGGACAGAACTTCCGTTTGCTGCTTTTCACCCTGGCCAAACGGGGTTCCAGGTGATGGTACTGTGAGGCTTGGCTGGCTCAAAGTTTTCTTCAGTGAGCTTCGGTACAGTTTCTCTTTCGTACCAAGGAGCAGCGCTTCATCCGTTTTTAGATGCTACATATGATATACGTTAATACGTAACGCTAGTAAAATGCTAATTTTGTAAGTTTATATATTTATCTGTAGATCCCTTACCTACATTGAATAGCTTGGTTACGCTTGCACCGGAAAGGCGAGAAACCAATGCAAAGAATTCGGCACAAGGTGAGTATTTGAAAAGGTATTTGAAAGATACGTTAATGATACTGTACCTGTATTTTGCGGCGCCCTAATGCTATGGTTAAGCTTCTATCCATGCATACCATATTTTACAATATTGCACACTACTACGGCAGGGTCGCCTAGATGGGTTCCAGATGTCTGCTCCGTTTGAAATGATGGATTGTCTGCCGTACGTATTACGTACCTTTTGCTATTGCAGTAAAAGTCATGGTCGTTAGCGAGTTTGCCTCTGTGAAACGAATCTTACATTTTCACACTTGTTCTTCTATTTCAGATCACTAGTTTATTATGCAGTATGATCTAGAATGATACATTATATGTAGCATATTAGTCGAAGGTACTGTACAATATTTTGTAGCATATTACACATATACCATTCTGCAACGAATTATGCAGTATTTTAGTCTTTTGTGCTATGCCCTATTCTAGCTTATGTTTTACAGCACCACGAGACATAATTCACCGTTTTTTGACCGGAGTTGAACTCAAATATGAATTATTAGACATTCTCTTTGGCAAACGTACCCTGTAGCATTCCAGTACGATACAATATAGCAGCGATTGCTGTAATATAGAAGTATTTGGGCATTGCTCTTTCAGAACCAAGATTTACTCCACCGCTTCCTTATTCCTATTTGCTCAAACAAGCCACTGGCCCTTGGTTTTTGAGCGCCGGCAAGGTCAAATGCATTCTACATCATTTTGTCCACAAAAGCAACCTTTCGTTCATTATGAACGATTTTTCAGTAGTTCCTACTACTATGAGCTACTGTGTAGCAATATATGATATTAACGCCATAATTTGTTAACTGGTGCATGACTCTTCAGTTTAATGCTAAAGATTGCGTAAATGACCCACAATA